CTGCACCCGGCGGGTTACGTCTGTGATGTTGTTCAGTTTCTCACAATGGTGCCGCCGCCGCGCTCTTGCCCTGTCGACAAAAGGATCGCCCCCACCCCATTTGTACAAAGGGTGCAATCGCAGCAAGTGTATCACATCTCCCATGCATAGACCAGTCCGCGGATTTTTCTGATTGATGATGCACGTGTATTGCCCCAGTGATAAGGACGCCGCTCCGCTGCTCGAAACCAACAATTGCGCGCCCAGCGGCGCTCCGGCATATGCAGTATGCCGCCATGAGCATTGCAAGCAGGGATGAAGGATTGTCATATTCAGCGCAGGGCAACCTGCGATAAATGAACCGGAGCGATTCCAGAACACCCAATGCATCGTGCAGCACAGAAGGAAAGGTCATGCAACTCAGGTGCGCGATTTGACGGGCGGCCTAGCTATCGCCAGGCGTCGCCCTGCTGGTCTCTCGATCGCGCAGCTCCTGCGGGGAATCCTTTGCAGACCCCCCCGCCGATACGGGCGGCAACGCTCCAGCGAGAATCAGGCACGTCAATAGGCATGCGGATCCCCAACGATATGTCATTGCTTGACCGTTGAGGCTCTGACCAAAATGGCACGCTTGAGCCTCAACCCAAATGGCTACGGATGCGTTTCGCCTTATCTTGCCCGAGATTGGGTGGGCCGCCTCAGGTCGAGGCGTCGCTGGACTTAATTGCGAAGATGTTTTAGGCGAAACGGACTACATCACTTCGTGCGCGGCATCTCTGAACCCAAAGTTTGGAGGACGTCTCAGGCGAGACTGAATGGACCACCTCAAGCCGAGGCATCTCCGACCCCAGATTTGCAAGGATGTCTCAGGCGAAGCTGGTCCGACCATTTCGCGCGCGGCATCTCTGAGCCCAAAGTTGGGCGGATGTCTCAGGCGAGACTTGGTGGGCCACCTCGGGTCCAGGCATCTTTGAACCCAGAGTTGAGAAGATGTCTCAGGCGAGACTGGTTGGAATGTCTCGTGCGCGGCATATCTGAGCCCAAAGTTCGGGGCATGTCTCAGGCGAGCATGGCCGGGCCACCTCGGGCGAAGGCATCAATGCGACCAGAGTTGCGCGGATGTCTCGTGCTAAAATGGCCGGGGCGCTTCGCGCGGGGCATTTGTGAGCCCAGAGATGGGGGGTGCACCGAGAGATAAGTGGCAGGATCAACTCAGGGCGAAGCATCTCAGAACACAGGATTGCGAGGGCGTCTCAGGAGAGACTGGCGGGATCACCTTGTGCGCCGCACCTCCGAAACCAAGATGGGCAAGATGTGTCCGGCGGACCTGGCCGGAACACCGCGGGTAAGGGGATCGGTGGGCCTACGGTCGACATGGCAACAATAAACATGGATCAAGAGCACAAGCCCCTTCGCCGAAGGCCAAGGGCCCCATGAAGATGCCAGAAAGAAAGACCAGCCCAATGTAGGGGTCCAAATGGCGAAGAACAGAAGAACACCCCTCCGAAAGTATGGCGATTCTTTACCCTCATGCCAGACCACCTCTTGCGCGGCATCTCGGAGCCCAGAACCGCCAGAGCGAGTGCTTCCGCGCGGCACCGTCGAGGCAACAACCGTCGGCGTCGCCGCCGGCGTCATCTTTGTCGTCGTTGTCGTCGTCGCCGCCGCCGCCGTCTTCGTTGTTCTCCGTGTCCTCCTCCTCCTGGTCCTCTTCGTCCTCCTCTTCCGTCCTCGTCCTTCTCCTCCTCCCCCTACTCCTCTCCCCGCCTGGCGCGCCCCCTCCTCCGCCTCGCCGCCTTCTCCTCTTCCGCCTCCTCCTCCTCCTCCTCCTCCTCCTTCTCCTCCTCTTCCTACTCATCCTGCCTCTCTTTCTGCCGGCCGAGCCGGGCTGCCCGGCCGAACCGGGGGCGAAGGACGAAACGAAACGAAGGAGGGAGGAGATGAGGGAGAAGACGAGGGCGCACGGCAACGAGGCAGGGACAGCGGCAACGCGGATAGGGGAGGGGACGAGGAGGCAACGAGTACTCAGCCCAACTCCGCTACTGTTTCTCGAAACACGATGTGGACTGTTCTCAGGTCCCATCGATTGTCTGTCCAAGGGTATGAATATTATCATAAAACCCACATCCCGGAGTTCCAGGCGATCCAAGGATTGCTCGCGTGACCTCCAGACCCCAAAAACACCATTTCGCCTGAGACATCATCGAACAATCTGGCCCCGAGGGTGATACTCGAGTTTGGCTACCGAGCCCAACCATCCGCAAATTACGCCACATTCGCGGCCCCGAAGCCACGACCCCCCATAAAGTACGCCATATCCGCGCCCCCGAGGCAACGATCTCTGGTAAATTAGGCCACGTTCGCGTCATCGCCATTTCCTCGGCCCCCGAAAGAAGCCCCCAGAAGCCCCCCAAGAGGCCCAAAAGTGGCCCCACGAGGGCCTAGGTACACTCAAGAGAGCCCCAAGAAAGCCCCAACAGGCTCCCAAGGGGCCCCCAAGAGGACCCCAAGAGGCACCCAAGAGGCCCGAGGAGGGCCCCGCGCCGCCGACGAAATTGCGCCCCGTAAGATTTTAATTTACGGGAGACAAATCTTCGATACTTTCGACGATTTTAACGCACGGGGGACCCTCCCAGACCCCCCCGATAGGGGCCCTCTTGGGACCCTCGTGGGACCATTGCCGACCGCCGACAGCCCCCTCCGACCCCCTGGAAAATCTTTGGGAGCCAAGAGGGTGCATGCGTCAACGCACTTACGATAAGAATGCAAATGCGCTATGGTAGGGTGCACATACCGATGGCGAAGAGAATGAGGATGATTGGGATGACGTCGCAAGGCGTCGGACACGCACGGCGATGATGATGTTATTTTTGTTGGCATACAACAACCAATGCTTCGGTGATCGCGAACTGCTGCGTCCAACTGTATACGCAACAGCGTTGAAACGCTCGGCCTGCCAGCGCCTGCGCGAGCCAACAGCGAAGCAGAGAAAGACGGCGATGAAACCAGGAAGTACATCACGCGAATCGTGTCTGAGGCCCGTCTAGGCGCGAAGGTCTGCGACCTTCATCTGTGCGCGCAAAAGCAGTGCACAAGTCTGGCCGCTCGTCTCCTGCACGAGCCAGCAGCGCGAATGAAGATGGGCAAAAACAGATACGCGGCCAACTGGTAATCATTTGAGAAGCGTTGCCATGGCTTGCCACGGGTCCATGCCTCTTGTCCAGTATTCGCATTGTGCTGACTTGACTGCCACCGTAAAGGCGCGCGACCCCGGTTTCATACATTGATTTTTCTGGATGCGGGCCTTCAAGAATCTCCAGCAACTATCAATTGTTTGAGTTCCCGACTTGCGCCAAAATCTTTTGCCATCGACGCTATGTTGCACTGTAGCTACGTGTTTTGGCTTTGTCCAAAAGTTACGCCCAGTCTTCTTGTTGAGCACTCTTTTTCTCTTGTGTACGACCTGGTCCCGCACCGTTCATGGGATGTTAGTTTCGCGATAAGCTCTTGCTAAGTCAGTTTGTGTAACAACGCAGCGGTTCTGCAAATGTTTCTTGGCGATGGCTTTCGACTGATCCTTTGTTATCGGCCCTGGACCCGGCGACCTCGCCAGGGTGGGCGAGTTCTTCGAGCGAATGAGCATGGGAGTTCCTGGGTGGCCTCGGCGCAGAATACCAGTCCAGTTTTCCCAAGCCAGCGCCTTGTCAGACGTGCCGCGCTGAGGGCGGAGTAGCATCTTGCCGAACGAGGCTTCGTCAACTTCGATGTCGTGCCACTTTTCCGCCGGTGCTCTTTTCTCGCTGCTATATGTCATGACCTTCTCCTTTCGCTGCACGTGCAGTTTGCGGTCATTCTGTAGTAGGCCGTGCGTGCGGATTGCGGACCAACGCGCATGCCCCGTCAAATGGATGGTGCTAGTCACGGAGTTCGTGGACAGACATAGTAAGTTCATGAGCTGCTGGTGGAGAGGTGCCGAACGTCGCCCATGATGCAGTAGTGGACATCGTCCCCATGGGCACTCACGAGCAGCGGTGGAATGGCTTGCTCCCGTCAGATCGAAACTGCTTGGCGCCAAGAAATCCATCCTTACACACAGGACAGTGCTCTCCATGCAAGTCTTTTGCGAAACCTAGCTTGAACATGATATCCCAGATCTCTGCCTCTGTCATGCGGGCCAAGTCAATTAAAGTTGTGCTTATTTTGCGAACCCGTGGATCTCCTCTGATTTCTGCTGCCGTGGACTGCGTGTAGGTGGCGCGCGCGCGGGCACTCTGCCGCGCGCGGGCTTGCGCCGCTGGCTTTTTGGCAAGTCCCAGAGTATTCATAACGCTGCGGCCATTGCGAACTCGGCCGCGTTTCGGCACAAATTTCCCCATACTTCACACCGCGGGTATCTGTTCTTGAGCCGAAACGCCGAGAGAATCCACCTCTTCCCACTCCTGGCAGCGATGCTCGAGCAAGCCAGCGGACATAGGTCTGACGACGACTGCAACATGTTTTCCTGCATCCTCGCTTCCAGGCAGTCGACGTCAGCTGGGGCCGCCAGCGCTGGGCGCGCGCACCGCGCGCTGCAAATGAGCGGAGGCGCCTGTGCAAAAAAAGCGCCCGCGCTGAAACGGCCCTGGATGCGCCGCCCCTGCTCAACAGTGACCTAGGGCACACGCAACGCCGCTGCCGCAACAATCGGGCCCAGGACAGATAGCAAATCGTCGCAGTGGAGAGCGCAGCGAAGTGTTTCAATGAAGTGCTCCGCGCCCCGTTCAGCGGGCATTCTCCCCGCGCACACATGCATGGCCGAATCATTGCGCCTTCGACCGAGCCACCGAGCCTACGCCAGAGTAGGCGGGCAGGTCGCGCCAACGCACTCCTGCCCCCCGGCATTCGCTCGACGCCCTGCACGCGCGCCGCGAGCCGACGCAGCATCGGCAACTGATATCTGCGGAGCAGCGGCGTCAACTTTGCACGCGACGCCAGGACTGCTGCATCCGCGAGGCAGGCGATAGCGCGAGAAAATCTCGCGGTCACGCGATGAAGCAGACCACCCGGTACCACTCACAACTCTCCGAAGGCGCGCCGTCGGGCAGCAGGTGCCAGGCGGAATGGCCCACGCTGATCTGCTCTCGCAGGCCGTCAATGAAATGCACGTGGCCTTTCTCAACAATGCCGCCGACGGCGTGCCCTGGGTGCTCGGGCGCGGCATCGTACACGATGACGTAGCGCCCGGTCTGGGAGCCCCTGGCCGACCGGGGTCGCGAGCGGAGAAACGACAAACCGAAGAGGCTGATCATAGCCTCTGCCTCGCCCAGAGTGTAGGGGCCCGGGCGATCGTAGGGCACGGGAACGCCAATGGCGTTGAGGGCATCCAGGAGGCAGCAGTCTGGATATTGCAGCACATTCTCGGGGCGGACCTGCATCGACAGGGCGGAGCCGAGTGGTCTGTCGTACAGGCGGGCCCCCCGCGGGAGGCGGGCGGGCGGCTCGCCCTCGGCCTCGCTCTCGTCCCGCTTGAGAGAACGTCGATCACGGCGCCGCTGGCGCTGGCTGCGGCGGGCGCCGCGGCGGGACTGCCGCGCTCTCTCTTCGGTCTCGCGGCCGCGCTCGGCGCGGACCTGGCGCCGCTGGCGCTGTCCGATGCATGCCCCGCAGCGGCGCTGCCGGGATCCCTCTTCGGTCTCGAGCCATCAAGTGCGTCGGCCGGATCCAACTCCACGCGCTCGCGCTTCGTGGGGAGGGGGTATCGGAACGCGCGGCGCGACATACCTGTCGGCGCCAGCGACCCCGCGGCCGGCAGGCGGAAGCGATGCTGGCCGTCAGCATCCGCCCGCGCGCGCGCGCCGCCGGAGTCGGACGCCGGCGTGCCGGCAGTCGCGGGAACGCGGTGAATCGAAGGTGCAGCTGGCGCGGCGCTGGCTGACGATAGAAGGTCGGCCGTGCGATTCGCCCACCGCGAGGCGATTTCCTCTGAGGTCTTCTGCCGCACCGCCTCCTGCACCTCGCATACGAGACTGTACTCGTTGTCGACGTGCAGCGCATAGTCTGGGCGCACGCAGTCCTCATGGTCCATGCCCTGGTAGAACCCGGCCAGGACGCCCTTGTTGCCGGGCAGCAATAAATCGGACGCGACGTCGCCCTGGGTGAACTTAAAGATTTGGGCAGCGTCGTCGGAGCTGGGCGCTCGCACATACAGAGCGCGCCGGCCGACGACCACCAGCACGAACCGCTTGGTGAGGGCGAGCCTGTGCGATTGGCTCAGGTAGCCGAAGGGCTTCTCGAGCATCTTCATGAAGAGCTGCGGGTCGACGAAGAATCCAGCCGAGGACGGCGGCTCAGCATCTTCAGACCAACTATTGCTGAGAAGCTCGTGGAACTGTCCCTTTGCCCATTTTTGGGGGGTATATCTCGCGTCAGAATGGCCGGCTGCGTGGATGGTGCCGAAGGCCTCCAGGTCCTCGACATCGATGCGGTCTAGAGACGGATCGTCGAGCAGTATACCCTCATAGACAGGAGTCGCTTTGTCACGGAACACATCCATCTGTTTGCCGCGCCGGTAGCCAGGCTCTTTGTCGATGCCCTTGCTCCGCGTCACGTATCGACCCCAGGCCATGGCTGCGATCTGGCACAGGGGGGTCTTCCCCACTCCGGGAGCACCAAAGACCATGGTGCCAGAGAGCGGGGCGAAGGCATCGACCAATGGCAGCAGCAGATCCTGGATGACAGGGTGCAGGTCGCACGACGTCAGCGGGAAGAAAGTGTCTACATCGGCCGAGGCCGATGCCTTGTCCATGTTCACCAACGCCTTCTCGATCTGGCTAGTCGGCCACCCATGGCAGGCGCATGACCGGACCTTAGTCTGCAGCAGCACCCACTCCTGAGCTTCGATAGCACTCGAGCCGGCAATTTCATGGTAGTGCTCGCGGATGTATGCGAAGCCGTCGCGGATCTCTTCTGGCGTCGGGTCCCACCCCTTCCCTTGCTGATCTTTCGGGTGCTCCTTGCGGGTCACACTGAAATGGCGAGCGTGGAATCCAGGCAGGCGGTCGAGCATCGCGTTGAAGTTCTTCCGCTGGCCCCGCGTATTGTTTTCCTCGGCCGCAGGGAACGTCGACGACTGGCCCATGGTGCACAGGTGCGCGTCTGCACGCTTCAGGTTGCTACCGTGCTTGAAGATAAAATGGCGCAGCACGTTGTACCGCCCCACACCGGCTCGCTGGACGACGAACTGCGCCTGCACACTCGCAGGCGCTCCCTGAGGAATCTACAGGACGTCCGGCAAGCCCGCCATTGCCTGTGGCCCACCACTCTCGAAGGTAGTCTTGACCTCCTGTTCGTCGATGCTACCCGACCACGACATCACCACGTCGAGCAGGTTCTGCATGTGGGCGACCTGGTCGACTGGGCGGAAAAGGAAGTCCTCCATCTCGAGCGCGACCGCCACGTCTTCAGGGTTCACCATCCTGCCTTGGTTGTCTGGCCGACAGCCGGGAGCTTTTTTTGATCCATACGTCATCTCTCTCGGATGGTGAGATGGCGAAAGATCGAAGACCCGATCGAGCATAATTCGAGGCATAGCTGAGACTGGAAAGGAAAAACATTCGGAGCATGACCGGGATCACACTCGGTAGCTCTAGGGGCGATCAGCTGCGCGATCTGGCAAGATCCGATCACATTGCCAGCTCAGGCGCATGCATTGGGCGGCCGTCAGGGTGACGAGGCGAGACTCGCCATCATCCAGACGGCGCAGCTCAGCAAGGCGTTCGTCCGCAGACAAAGGCATGGTGGCCACGTGGACCTCGACTCTGATCGACTGTTCGTTTGAGCGAGATTGGCGAAGATACGAAAATGAACCGAGTAATGGTAACAAGATGCCAGTCCCCTATCTGAAGGACATTGATTGGAATCGTTTTTCGGGCCATTTTCCCATCGAGCAATGAACCTTCGGTGTTTCATCTCCGGTCGACCGGAGACCGGAGATCCCTCCAGGACTCATCTCCCGTCGACCGGAGACCGGAGACCGGAGATCCCTCCAAGACTCATGTCCGGTCGACTGGAGACCGGAGTCCGGAGATCCCTCCAGGACTCATCTCCGGTCGACCGGAGACCGGGGACCGGAGATCCCTCCAGGACTCATCTCCGGTCGACCGGAGACCGGAGACCGGAGATCCCTCCAGGACTCATCTCCGGTCGACCGGAGACCGGAGACCGGAGATCCCCCAGGACTCATCTCCGGTCGACCGGAGATGTGTCTTCAGAAGATCTCCGGTCTCCGGTCGACCGGAGATGAATTCTCAGACGGAGACCGGAGATCCCTCCAGGACTCATCTCCGGTCGACCTGAGATCAGTCCTCGGACAATATTTGGTGTCCGGTCGACCGGAGATGAGTCTTGGAAGGATCTCCGGTCTGATCGACTGGAGATGAGTCTTGGAGGAATCTCCGGTCTCCGGTCGACCGGAGATGAGTCCTGGAGAGATCTCCGGTCTCCGGTCGACCGAAGATGAGTCCTGGAGGAATCTCCGGTTTCCGGTCGACCGGAGATAAGTCCTGAGGGATCTCCGGTCTCCGGTCTCTGGTCGACCAGAGATGATTTCATAGGATGGCGTGAGTTACAGGCTTGTGAGTAGGCGGCCTGACGAATCTGCGATGTTACAACATATATCGTAAGATATCTGGAGGCGTTTGAAATTCAACGGTTGGCGATCTCTTATCGGCATCGCCCGATAGGGTGCCGCCGCCCACATATATATATATATATATATATATGATGTGTGCCTCTGGGGGGTTTCTTGGGAGGCCTCGTCGAAGGCCTCTTTCACAACGCCTCCAGGAGGCCGTCGACAGATCCCCACGAGACATCCAAAATGGCGGATCGGGGACAGAAGGGGGGCAGGGGAGGAGGAGGCGAATGATGAAAAGGACACCGGGAGCAGGGGAGGAGGGGGGCACAGAGGGAACAGGGCAGGAGGAGGAGGAGGAGGAGGAGGATCACAGAGGAGCAACGAGGGAGTAGGGGGAGGGGAAAGGGGTAAAGGATAGAGCTAAGAAGGAGTAGGAGGAGGAGGAGGAGGAGGAGGAGGAGGAGGAGGAGGAGGAGGAGGAGGACCACCGCAACGGCGAGGACCGAAAGGAACGAGGTCACGAGAGGGCCGAGACGGACGGATTTTTCGCAAAAAACCACATGCTGGGAGATTCGCAGTGTCGCCCATTGCGCGAGCGAAAACAAGAGCCGCAGCCCAGCTGCGACTAGAACCTGTGCGCGCGATTCGCGCGCGCGTGGGAGCATCATATATCATATAAACAAATAGGCCGGGTACCGCGCTTCCCGACCTCCCGGAGAGCCCCCCAAATCCCCACAAGCAGCCCAAGACGACCCCAGGTCGCCCCCAGAACGTAAAATAAAGGCCCAAGACGCTCCCAAGCAACCCAGGATAGCTTTCGGGCGGCTCTCCAGGCTCCCAGGAGGCCTCCAAGAGACCTCAAGAGAGCTTCGGGAGGCCTCCCGAGAGCACCTGGAGAACCTAATCTCATTCATTTTCAATGTTTTTTTGTCCAGGGTTTTTGGTCCTCTGACCACTTCATGGTTCCAACGCTCCAAGACGACCGAAGAGGCCCACCTCCCCAAGATCGCCCAAGAGGCGCCAAAGACGGCCCCAAGACGGGCCAAGACGGTCCTAAGATTGCAGAAGAAGCCCCCTGGATAGCTCCAGACCACCCCAGAACAGGCCCAAGATGAGCCCAAGACCGGGAGCAGGAGGCCTCCAGAGACCTCCGAGAGGACTCCGGGCCCCCAGAAAAGCACCGACGAGGCTCCCAAAACAGCCCAAGAGAGCTTCGAGAGCCGTCCCGAGAGAGTCGGAAGAGGGTAAAATCGTTGATTTCCACTGGTTTTCGTCGACGTGTTTCGCCTCACGCTTTTCCGCTTCCAACGCTCAAAGACCGAGGCATTTGAATCAAAAAATAGGGAATTCCAAATAGGGAATTCCAAAATAGGAGCTTAAAAAATAGGGAATTTGTTAAGTTAGGATTTCTACTCCCTACCCTCTTCCTCGAGCCACATCAAGACTTCGGAGTCACATGCAAAGGTGTTTCGGGAATATTGTTGAACTCTCTGACGCTGTCTTGACATTCTCTTGGATCGTCTTCGCGTCCTTTTGGCTGCCCCTGACACCACCGTAGAAATCGGGATCCCACCTACGCATGTTTGCACGAAGATCCCGAGAGGCATCCCAACGGACCTTGGCCTGTATCCAGAAAATGTCCCACCCACAGCCCAGGCACAGCAACTTGAAAAAACATGGACATCCCACACTTCTTTCTTTTCAAGTTCGCCCCCTGTCTACTCTTGCAGAAGAGACAGCAATTAAGGATATTTTCAGCAATTTTCAGCATATTTTGTTTTTGTTTTTTTGTGGGGTTTCACCGCCCCCAAGACAGACCCAAAGACCTTCAAGATCGGTTCAAGAGCCCCAAAGAGGGCGCCAAGACGGACCAAATCAAGAGGGCCCCAGGGGAAGCCCAGGAGGCGCCCAAGACGGCCCACGACGGCCCCAAGAGAGCACAACTGGTTATGAACATGGTCCCAAACCCCCGCGGGAAGCCCCCAAGCTTCGGGAAGCTTCTGAGCGGCCCAGAGAAGGTGCCGAGAGGCTTGAACGAGGCGCCGAGGGGCCTTCAAGGGGCCTTGCAGAGGCCTTCTAAGGCCTCTGGAAATCACGCCGCCAGGCCCCAGGATGCGTCTAAGACGCCCCTACCTCACGATCCATGTCAGGGGTGTTTGCGTGCATACCTCTGTGCGTGCGTGTGCGATTGTGCGTGCGTGCGTGCGTGCGTGCGTAAAAGGGGGAGAGAGAGAGAGAGAGAGAGAGAGAGAGAGAGAGAAAAAAAAAAAAAAGAGAAAGAAAGAGTTTGTGTGTGTGTGTTTTGTGTGTGTGTGCTTGTGTGTGTTTCTCCAGCCTGCCGCTGCACGCAGGGCCGCGACGCCTAAAAAGTGTGTATGAGCGTGTGTGTGTGTGTGTGTGTGTGTCTATGTGTGTGTGCGCGTGTGCCAGAGTTTGCGTGTGCGGGCGTTTGCGCGTGTGCGTGCGTTCGCGTGTGCGTGTGTGTGTGTGTGTGTGTGTGTGTTTGTGTTTGCGTGTGTGTGTGTGTGTGGCTGCGTGTGTGTGTGTGTTTTTGTATGTGCGTGTGTGTGTGTGCTAATGTGTGCGGGTGCGTGCGCGTGTGTGTGTGTGTGTGTGTGAGTGTGTGTGTGTGTGTGTGCGAGTGTGGGACGCGTCGAGGGGACGGCGGTGGGAGGGGGCAAGGACATCCAATGGCCGGGTGGTTGCATAATGTGATTATTGTGCGCCTGCGCGTGTGCTTGCGTGCCTCTGCGTGTCTGCGCGCGTGCGTGTCTGCATGCGTGTGTGGCTCTCTGTGCGTATGTGTGTGTGTGTGTGTGTGAGTGCGCGCTCGGGCCACCTCCCTCACATGGGAAGTTCTGCATCCGGTCCGGGGGGACTAGGGGGAGAAAGAGCTTGAGACTCCCGGTGGCCCCAAAGGGGTTGACGGATTCCTCATCCAGGCAGCTCCACCTAAATGCCAAGGTGCGCGCGTGTTTGCGCGTGGGCGTCAACTTGTAACTCCTGTCCTCGTGCATATCTGGGAGATGGCGTCGAGGTGGGTGTGGATGAGGTGGCTCACGATCTCTCTAAGGAGTCGTGGTTGCATAATCAAGTTGCTCGCGCAAGTCGGTGCGCAGTTGCGCATGCGCGTGCACTTTTGAGCCCCAGGAAGGCCCCTAGAGAACCAAGAAATGCGCCCAAGAAAGCTCCAAGATAGCTTCGGAGTGTTCGTTGCTCGTCCCTCCTCCTCCTTCTCCTTCGCCTCCTCCGGCTCGCTCGACTCCTCTCACTCCTCTTTCTGCTCCTCCTCCTCCCCTCGAATAAGTGGTAGAAACATCAGGAAGGCGGAGAAGGGTGATGGCTAGGAGAAAGGAGAAGGAGAAAGGAGGACTAATGAGACAGGAGAAGACACGAGGGGGAGCACGGAGAAAGTTCAATCCCTCTCTCTCTCTCTTCCACTTTTTTGGGGTCTATTGGATTCGTGGAAGGTCTATTGACATCGACTGCGCAGTCGGCTAGAACCTCAGCGCGCGCGTAGCACGCGCGTGGCTCTAGTGCGTATAGACAGATTTACGCATGGATTATTTCAGGGACATGAGGCAGCGAACCTGGAGGGAGGGTTTATTACAACATCGTTGATGCGTCTTGGGTTTGCACTGCTCCTTCTCTTGCCCTCCGCTTCGATCCTCCCCTTTTCTACCTTCCGCGATCCTCCTCTCGGCCTTCGATCCTGCTCCTCTGCCTTCGCCCCCCGCCCTCCCCCCTCCGCCTCCGCCCTCGCGCCCCGGAAGGAGGATGACAGGCAGGTCCAGCTTCTGTGTGGACCGCGGTCCCGGCGAGGACGTCAATAAGCGAGGCTCGTTGCCCGTGGTCGCGCCGCAGACGTCCATCGACGAGGCCCGCCTGGGGGGGAGTCGCGGGCGCGCGCTCCCGCCTTGATCCTCCTGCCTGGAGGATCGAGATGGACACGGGAAGAATCTAGGCCTCCCAGATGGGGTCCGAGTCGGTGGGATCGGAGGATCGCGCCCTATCGCCGATGCATCGGCGTCACGGCCCTATGCGGAGCCAAGATCTGATCCACGCCGACGGCGCCGCCGCATTGGCGATGCGGCGCGATTCTCCTAATCCATCTACTAGGACGACAGTCAGGAGACCTCGAAATAATTGGGACGAAGACCAACTGCAGTTTATCATGCCCACTTTCAACAGCAGTCGCTGTCGGCGTCTCTGTGGACGTTGTCCACTCAAGGCAGCGGCTCTCTTGCGCAACAGCGGCCTCTGCGGGTTTTGCACAACAGTTGGTGTTGGTCAGCGTACCCATTGTTGTCCGTACCCATGTCGCGCGTGGAATTCCAGGAGGAGGAATAGGAGGAGGAGAAGGAGCGTGCTTCCCAGCTCGAAGAAAATGCATCTTGACAAGCATGAATTCTCAGAGTTGCACGCCGATTTCTGGGAGCTGCGCCAGACCCCCCTGGCGGCGCCTCCGGGGCCTCGAGTGCCAGTCCCAGAAGTCCGCGTGGTCCTCCGAAAGTTGCAACATGTTTCTGCTATTGTTGTGCGAGCGCACGCTCGCCGCCGGATCCTCCGACCGTCTGTCGGCGTTCCCACGCTTCTTTCCCCTGCCTCCCCCGTGCGCCGCCCTCGCTGGCTGCACGGGCGCGCTTCGAGGAGATCTTCTGGCGCCTTCTGGCCCGGCGTGGTTCTCCGCGGTCGGATTTGGCCGTCACGCAATGGCGGGGCGATCCATGGGAGAAGCGGAAGCGTGCACCTGTCGTGCTCCATTTTGGACCCCAGGCGAGGCCCTTTAGGTTTCTTTTGGGGCACGACAGGTTGCACCTTGCCTCACGCCCCCATGCATCGCTCCCTCCCCCCCCCATGACGTAACGCCCGACGCATGAGGCTGTCTCTGGGGCCCCTTGCCAGGCTCTTTCCTTGGAACGTGTGCGGCGGCCGTGCTGTTGTCCCATCTTCACCGTGATGCTGCGCAAGCGTGGCTGCCAAGCAATAAGAGGATCGAGGTGTTTGAGATTTTGGGGGCCTCTGGAGGGAAGGACGATGGGAAGGAGGAGAGGGTTGAGGAGAGGGATGAGGAGGATGAGGAGGAGGAGGAGGAGGAGTGAGTGAGTGAGTGAGTGAGTGAGTGAGTGAGTGAGTGAGTGAGTGGGTGAGTGCATGAATGAGTGAGTGCATGAATGAATGAGTGATTGAGTGAGTGAGTGAGTGAATGAGTGAGTGAGTGAGTGAGACCAGCCGCGAAGCAAATCCGAATGGCTCTGTCGAGTTCTCGTGGCAGAGCTACAACATGCGACCGCACACTGCAAGGCGGTGGTGGGTGGTGAAAACCTGGATAGAAGACGGAGCGGGAGGAGTCGCCTCCCTTCTCGTTTCTTGTCATCCTGCTTTGTCGTTTCTGTGCTGTGGGCCCGTCGTTGTTTCCCCCCCCCCTTGGCCATGTCTTCCTCCTCTCTCTCGTTCCCGCGTTGCCCTCCCTAGAGCACTCGTTGCAGCAGCATCGTTTAGGGCATCCAGTGGTGCATGCATTTGCGCCCTAGCTTATTGCAGCAGCATCGCTTGAGAAACCCAGTGGTGCACGCGCTTGCTCCCTCCCCCCCCCCAAAAAAAAAAGGAGCGGGAGGATAAAGAAGGGGGAGGCGGTTCAGACCTTTTCCTGGCACCTGGTTCCTCAAACTCGTTCTCTCGCTCGAGTGTGTCGACCGTTCTCCTCAGAAGGTGTATGCGGACCAGAAACGTTGTCTGTTCCACGTGGCGACACGATGTTTTATCCTCAGCTGAGACTTCACGATGTTTATCCTCAGCTGAGTCTTGGTACCTGCCAGCAGCAGCTCTGGCGAGAAAGTCGGCGACTGTGTTGGCCATCACCACCCAGATCTGACAGCGACTGCACGCGAGGTCGCTGTCTTCCAAATGCGAGTTGCCGGATATCACCACAACCAAGTTTGGGCCCCGTTCTCCAAATTGTAAACCGACGTTGTACCACGAGTCCCACATCCATCTTGCTCGAGGTAGCGGCGCTTGGCCCCACCCTTCAGCCGCATGTTGATTGTCTGTGATAGGAACCACGAAGCCGACATAACATTTTCAGCAGTGAGGAGGCGAGCTCGCAGCTCGCCTCTTGGAATTGGCTGACTCCTCTCAAGTCCTCCTGACACTATTAGGCGTGCCACTGGCAGACCAACTCGTCGAAACCGTGTCACTCCACGCGCCACTCGCACCGTCGAAGAAAAATGATGGCGGCTGCGGTGCGGCGCCGAGACATTCTGCAGGCACGCCTGGCACAGCAAGCCTTCGGGGAGAGGAGGAGGAGGAGGAGGAGGAGGGGGAGGAGGAGGAGGAGGAGGAAAAGCAATCGGGAGAGGGGAGGGGCGGAGGGGAGTTTTGTTTGCACGCGGCCGAACTCCTTAGCCCTGGCGGGCCGTTGCTAATGCCTTTTCGCATCTCCTGTTCTGGTCGGCCCTCTGCAGACAATACTGTCCTTGTTGGGTACTCTGTTGCGCTCACTGCGTCCGCACTCTGCTTTCTTGTATTGTTCCAGCGTCGATCGACGCAGTGGTGCTTCCGTGCGCCAGCGTCGGGCTGGCAAACATCGTACGGGCAGGAACGCCTAGCTGCGCAGCAAGGACGTCGGTGGAAGGGGACTGTATTGAAAGAAGGCAGGATTAGCGTACGAAGAATACCAGGAACATACAACATGCCGACCAACGGATCCGTCGTATTCCTTCGGCGCTTGCCTGGAAAGGGTAGGTTGTGTTTGCGCGACCTATTCTCGCATCTCGCAGAGTCACAGACGATGAGGAGCGACGTTCAGGCGGATGAGGATGGGCGGACGGGAAGATGGGGAGGAGAAGGAGCAGGAGGACGGCAGCCAAGCCGTCGCGCAGATGGTGATCGAGCTGCCATGGGGCCGCGCGCTCGGCTCCACTTGCGCGGCCCACGTCCGGCTGGCCCCAGGCATCTCGATTGTCACCACCGCTGCCCGCCGTCGGCTAGTGTCCACGACGTCGTCGGCGTCGTCGTCGGCGGCGTTACCGTTGGAGTCGTCGTCGCCGTCGGTCGTCGGCGGCGCCGTCGACGTCACCAGCGACGGCATCGGACTCGACGACGTCGCCGTCGGCGACGTCGTCGGCGTCGCCGGCGGCTTCAAAGGCGGCGCCGTCGGACTCGATGGCGCCGTCGGAGACCGAGCGCTGTCGCATTCGAGGATCGTGGCTCGAGGATGGAAGTGGTCGGGGCGCTCCTGGGCTGTTCCCCGACCTTCCACTGTGCTAGGCCGTGGTCCTCTGGACCTAAAGCCCTGAAGTGGCACATGCGTGCCCAGGCACATGCAAAAAGAACTGCATCACTTGAGCATCGCAGGAGAATGACCAGAATATTGATATGAAGTCGGATCCGAGGGGGAGGAGGAGGAGGAGGAGGAGGAGGAGGAGGAGGAGGAGGAGGAGGAGGAAGGACATGGAGAAGCAAATGTAACGGAAATAATGAGGATAGTTGATGGGGATCACCATGGGGCTGTTGAGAAGGCGGTGCAACAGAGGAATCGCTGTCGAACGCAGGTGGGGTTGCCTCACCTGGCGAGGTGTGTGTGTGTGTGTGGCGCAAGAGGGTGTTCCGCACCTTGCGATTGCAGGTGGAGAACAGTTCCGAAGCCGAATTTTGGGGATGGTGTGTAGCGAAACTGTGGTTTTGAATCATAGGAAGTATCAGGACAACTTTGAATACGTCGGGTCTCAATGTCGGGGATATGTCTCACGCGAAACGGCAGTTTTTCGAATAGCGACGTCCAACATCATCGCAAATCATTGGGTGTTGGAGATTTCTATTACACTATTGAAACACATTGTGGTTTTGGTCCGTGAAGTCGCGATCTGCGTGAGGGGTGTATCCGATTTTCGGATGTGTGAGGATGTTCCGATAGAAACGGCCAACACACACACACGCACACACACACACACACACACACACACGCACACGCACACGCACACGCACACGCACGCACGCACACATCGCGAACGGGATGGGACGGCTGAGCTCTATTCCCTCGGAGATGCGCGTATGAGAATATACACGTGCGCACCGATTCCAGGTCGACGCTTCCTCCCCTTGAGCCGGCCCCTCCCCCCGAGGAGGACCAGGGGCACCGTCAGGGGGGGGGGGAAGGAGGAGGGGAGGGGTGACTTTCCCCGGGGGGGAAGTGCCCTCGACCCCCAGTGGCCCACGCTTCGCCGCTCGGGGCTCGGCTGCCCCTCGAGGAGGAGGAGCGGGAAGGGCAGGAGGGGGCGCAGGAGCAACAGCTCGATCAGGGGGAGGATGAGGGCGAGCACGTGGAACAGGAGGAGCGGGGTCTCCACAAGGACCTCCTCGCCGTCCTCGCCCTCATCCGCCGTCCCTCCCCCCCCCCGCCCTCCTGCTCGCCTGCCCCACCCCCCTTTCCCTCCTCCTCGCCCTCCCCCCGCCCTCCCGATCGGTGCTCCAAGCACCTCCTTTCCGGAGGGTCGTGTCGGACGGATAGGGGGGACAGGACGGGGGGTGGGGTACGCAAACCGCGCCGCCGCTGGGCGCCTTCCTCGACACAGTGGCGCATTCGGCGCCGTAAGGCGCCACAGGAATCAGCTGCGTGAGCTCGCCCTTAGGTATCCCCCTCTTCTGTCCTCTCCGAGAGGGGGCAGTCGGGCGGGGCCAGGACTAGGATAAATCGTCCAAGGGCGTCCCTGCACGCTCTCAGCGCGTTACGGAGCGCTGTGGAACGGCTGCGGCACCCGATACATCCTCCATAGCCGATGGATCTCTGAGTCCGTTCGGTCGACTCTTGGTCGTGGAGCCGCGATCGCAGCAACAGATGGTTGAATATTGGTGATTCCAGCCTGACCGCATTGGCCAGACTATCACGTGCAGGCCTCGTCTGAGAAA